CTTGTTGGGAGGCAACCCAACCAGTCGGTTTGCATTTCTTTCTCTATTTATCCTCGGTTGAGTCAGTTTTGTTATTTGATTTTAGAGTCAATAACTCAACCTTTGTGAGATTTTGTGTGGTGTTTGTGTTCTGATTACTCTCTCTTCCTGGAATGCACCGCCTGACCCGTACATCATCATTCACCCTTGATCTGGTAACTTCGTTCTACCCTCCTTATCTTTCCTCCATTGAGGACAATGTCGTGCTTAAGTGTGGGGGGTGTTCGATTATTTATGCGGGTGAATGTTTGGTTGTTTGTGTGCTTGGAGCCTAGTCCACTGTCCAAATTTCGATTTGAGGGCTCCAAGTACGTGTTCCTTGCAATTGCCTGCTCAGTATGCTTTGAATTGACAGTCTTTATAGTAATATGCAACCTAGGGAGGTAGTGTAGCACTATGGAGGATGTTGATGCATTTAAGAAGTCTCATTGCTTCTTCATATTGTGTTGGTTGATTGAGTGAATTAGTGATCTTAGGACCCTTGAATTGTGTGGTGTTGTGGATTCTCTACCTGTCATGGACTCTTGTATCATGTTTTGAGTTTAACAGGTGCTCGAAAATGTGCTTCAAAATAACGTCTCTCGTGCGAATAGGGCGAAAGTGTGTAAGGGGAGACGGGAATTCGTTCCCAATTTCCACCTACTACCTCCAGCCCCCTTACATGTCTTTCCCCCGCATGAGGCTCGAGACATCCGCTCCTGGCATGGCCGGTAAGAGCAGGTTGGGACCCTTGAAATAAAAAAAAAAAACAGAAAACAAGCAAAACAGAAAAGAAAAGGGGTTCCAACCATCTTCAAGAAGAAAATAGAGCACCTTGAAAAATGTGAGTCCATGATCTTTTGTTTTTGAGAATCTCTTCATCCACAATTCATTTGTCCTCTGTTCACTATTTGCCATGATGCCAACTCGATACTAGTGCTCTCGCCGAAGAAGCTATGAGATGACTTGTGTGTCGGTTGACCTCGTAAGTTGCTAAATGATCTAGGAAGTCCTCTACCTACGATCTGGGGTGTTTGTTGCTATAAAGGTCTGGAGAGTTGCATTGGTTTGAGTTAGGTTTGCTTGGGGACAAGCAAACAGTTAAGTGTGGGGGGATTTGATGACTCGGTATTTGCACATGTTTTCCCCTTTGTTTCTTGATTGTTTGAGCTTGAATTATCGTGTCTTTGGCCTATTTTATGCTAGGTTGTGTTCCTTTGTCCCATTTCAGGTCCTAGCACATAAAGTGAAGCATAGGCGCAAGTTTCAAGTCAATCAGAGATCAATTGACGATTCGGGAGAAGAAACTCGGGCATGACCTGAAGAAGAATGGATTTCTACCTCACTTTATGGACAAAGAATCATGCAAGCTCATTATGAAAAGAAAGAGGACGAGACTACGAGCGTCTGGGATCAAACGCCGACTGAATCGGAGGTCAAACGAGCTCAAACGAGATCAACGAAGCTTAGGAGTGCATGCTGGAAATTGTGCACGGCCAGAACCTCAATTTGCACGGCCGTGCAAGTAGGGGGTGCGAGTTTCAGCGGGTATAAAAGCTGTTTTGCGATTTTTGGAGAGAGAGAGCTAGGTTTTGGATCCCAAACACCCAAGGGACGAACCCTAGAGAGAGAGAGCGACTTGGGAACATTCTTGAAGCTATTTTGGAGGATTTCTTCGCCATTGGAGCTCAGGAATCAAGCTTGGAGATGGAGATTGAAGATCTAGATCAGATTTCTGCAGTCTCTCTCTTCTCTATGGAGTAACTTCCCTTCACTTAGGTTTTGAGGAACCCTAGTTCCATGTGTTAGGATCTTTCTTGTATGAAGTTTTGGATGCTATATTGTTTGATTATAATCGATTGAGGCATGATTTATTGAGTCAATTGAATCTTGATCAAATTCTCTTGATTTCTGCTTTAACCTATGATAGATAGAATCTGATTAGGTTAAGAGAGCTTCCTTGATTGATAGTGGTGAATTGGTTGTGCGAGAGTCAATCAATTCACTGCTTTGTACTGGAATTCATTCCAGTAGTGGAGATCTGTGTGAATCGCCTTAGCAGTCTATCCCGGTGAAGGCTAGTCGCCTGCCGGGTATTCTGTCTGAGAGGGCTTGGTCAGCTTAAGAGATTCCAAGCTAATTTAGGATCTTCCGCAGTTTAATCAACAGTAGATCAACCAAAGGTAATTGCAACTTGGACCAAATTGAGGAGCTAGGGGGAATCATACCTAAGTGAGTTCCCAACTTGTAATTAGTAGAGTAGTCAGTAGAGTAGTTTATCAATCAATCCTTAATCTAGTTTGCTAGATAATGAACTGAAGCTGAGTAATAGTAACTCTAGAGACCCGTGGATTCGATATTTATTACTTGTGCCACTATACTGCAGTCCCTTTCATTGGTTACACTTGGCCATTGTTAGGTGTTGTGTTTTGGCGTGTCATCGCTCCACGATTGGGTTCTTCATTACTCTTGGTGATTCGCCCATTTCGTGGTGTACGAAGAAACAGACTGTTGTTTCTCGTTCTTCCACTGAAGTTGAGTACCGAGCTATGGCTAGCACTGTCAGTGAGATCGTCTGGCTGCGCTGGTTACTTCGCGATCTGGACGTACCTATTGATCGTCCTACTGTTTTGTTTTGTGACAACCGGGCCGCTCTCCATATAGCTGCTAATCCGGTTTTTCATGAGCGCACGAAGCACGTCGAGATGGATTGCTACTTTGTCAGGGAACGTGTTCAATCCTCTAAGATAGCACCGGCGAAGATTCCCACTGCCGAATAGCCTGCCGACCTCTTCACGAAGGGATTGAGTGTTGATCAGTTTCATCATCTCTTCGTCAAGCTCGGACTTCTCGACATTCACTCCTTCGCTTGAGGGGGAGTGTAGTGATTCCTAATTATCCTAATTAGTTGTTAATTAATTAGTTTAGGGATCGCTTGGTAATTTTCCCTTCTCCGCGTGTATTGGTGAAAGGAGCTAGGGTTAATTCTTTATATGTTCAGTTCGGCAGCTGTAGCAAAACCTAAGTTGTGTGAGACTCTGTGATTATAGTTTTTCTCCGAGAGCATCGTGCTCTCCGTGGATTAGTCTCGTTCACATTGAACGGAAATACCACGTAAATCCGTGTCTCATGTTCTTTATTTTCTGCGCATCATAGAATTTACAGTGTCATCACCCAAAGGCTAGTCTCTCTACACGACCCTTCACCAATGATCCTCCACCACACCACAAATCCCGATTATTCTTCCTAGTTCCTCCGTAGCTCTATTCGACCTCCTAAGATTCTGAGACCCGAACGACCACAGAAAACAGAGCAACGCTCGTAGACCCAACAACAACAATAACATCACGATCTAGTCAGCGGCGGCAGAGGCAAGATCTGGACTTTCTTCTTCATGTCACCGTCTGTCAATTGGTAGCTTCGTTGGCGGCAAAATTTGGGGAGTTGAGAGGGGATGTTCTATTGATTTGATTATCGGCAGCGTCCGAAGCGAAGTTACCAAGTAGCAAGGTGTGGGCTGTGGCGACGACAGGCAGACTTGATATTCCAGCTTCTTCTTCTTGTTGTTATCATCCTCCATTGTTTTCAAGTTTGAGGTGAATCAAGAAGAGGGAAAACCCAAAAAAACCACTTCTACAAATCTTGAATGGAGCAAGAGATTTTTATTGGCATAGTTTGTGAGAAAGCAAGGAGTAGTGTGAGATTTTGGTGTGAAGAAGGAAGACGAAGAGGAGAGAGAGGGAGAGGGATAGAGGGGTCGGTTCAATTTATAGGTTGGTTGGGTTAAACAACTGAATTGGGAAAGATGATATGGTGGGTTGAGTGACGTGGCGGGTCGGATTTGGTGATGTGGCGGGTTAAAAAAGAGTGACTCAGCACTTCTGTTAGCCACTTAAGCAATTGGCTAACGGTGTTAATGGAGAGTGATTAAACATGGACCGTTTTACTAATTCAAGTGACCAACATTGATATTAATTTTTTTCAATGACTAAACATGACACATTCTTAATAAACTTAGTGAACAAATACTGAATCGCTATTCGTCGCCCTAAAATTCAAATTTTATCGCCCTAAAATGCATTAAATTTACACTCTTATCCCTAATCCCAAATTCAACGTAAACCTTAAACAAAAAATATCTTACAGTGCCCAGACGTCGCCGAGCTCCTTCATCTTCTAACCGCCGGTGCCGGATTCTTTTCTCCGGCCGCTTTGAGCTCTCATGTAAAAATTATCCATCCCACCGCTCTGGTCGAGAGCGACAACTCCATGCCAGCTGCCAATTGACAAGCTAAGGCAAAAGCAAACACGACGTGAACTGGTCGCCGTATGAAGAAATACAGAGACTTCAGAGACGGGAGGAGGTCACGGCAGCTCCGGGAAGGCCTCACCGGACATGGCAAACCATGGAGAATAGACAGGGTATTCGAGCTGCTTAACCTGCACCCATCAATTTGTCATCACTCTAACGTTGCCAGGAGAGCCAAGCCAATCAAAACAAAGCCATCAATAATCAAGAAGCAGAGGTAATGTCCTCAAAAAGCTTCGGCAAAATGATTTGAACCAATCAATCAAGCAGATAACCAAATAAATAATAGGGAACTCCACCAAATGGAGAGAGGCGCCGGCTGAGCAGGATAATGGCCGGTGAAGGTGGGAGATCTAAAGCCGGCGAGGGGAAGTGCCCGGCAGTGCTAATAGGAAGAAGCAGTAGAGAATACGATTTATGTAATTAAGGGTATTAGTGTAAATTTAACTTAATTAGGGCGATGAATAATAAATTTTAGGGCGACGAATAGCAATGCCCGAACAAATATGTCATTCACGCTGACTTTATCATTTACCTAATTTGCATGAAATGTCTAAATACTAATCAACAAAAATTTAAATTTAGACAATAAAAATGAAAATTTAGATACTCCGGCCAACGGGCCAGGTCCAAGCCAGTGGAGTAAGAAAGCCCATGCTGAGGCTAGTCCCAAGTCCCAACTCCCAACCCATAGAGCCGCCGCCTCAGTCCTCACATCTTTCGTCGGTCTCAGTGGCACTCGCAGTCTCGCACCACTTTCTCCTTTTCCCCCGACTCTGTCTCCATAATTTTCCCGGCCGCCCTCCCCTCTCTACGGTCCCAGTCTCTGGTTCTCCGCTTTCCGAGCTTTACTTGCTCTTCGAATACCAGCAGAAAACTTCCAATTCTTTCTGCTCTTTTCTTTTTGTCGCTTCTTGCTTGAGACCACGACAACTGATTCAGTAATGACGGAGAGTGAAGATGTCATAGTCAAGAGCGTGTTCATCGCCGCAGGATGCAATCGAATTGTGAATAACGTCTCGTGGGGCGCCTGTGATCTCGTTTCCTTCGGTTCTCAGAATGCCGTCGCCATTTTCTGCCCCAAGGTTTACTTCTCCTTATTAGTTGTTTCATCATGTACTTGTTCATCCTTGTGATGCCCTGAGCTTCTAAGTTTATGCTCTTTCTGCTCCATTTTTAATAGACTGCTCAGATATTGACCACTCTTCCCGGCCATAAAGCACCTGTCAATTGCACTCACTGGATTCCTGGCGCCAAGTTTGCATTCAGAGGTGATTTTTCTTTTTCTTCTGTGGATATCGGGAAGTGAGGGGTAGGTGCTTCACTTTTGATGGTGACATGTCCGTAGCTCTCGGGAAGGATTGTTTCTGTATTGTTGTTGTTGCTTGCTCTGGCCTTGGTCTTCGAAAACTAGAGGGTTATTCAATAGCGATATACCTTTCTGTTTGTGTGCTGGTGATTAGGGGTTGTGAATACTAACACGCAATCTTTTGCAATTGCAGCAAAAAAGTTGGAGAGCCATTATCTTCTATCAGGAGATTCGGATGGCGTCATCATTCTATGGGGAATGACACTTGCTGATAGAAAGGTACTTTCTTTATTACAGAAGTTCAAGCAGGTATACAATGATTACGGTCTAGGCAAACGCTGTTGTTAAGATTGTTGAAGAACGCAGGAAGGTGCATCTTATGTATCTGTGTATTCTAATGGATTTCCCATTATAGGAACTTTGACAACCGAAGATGAGTATGTTCAACTTGATTATGTTATCAATATTGCCTGGTTTTTAAGTTGATTGGGTCTAAAAGGTTAGGGTAGTTCTCCATTTATAACTCTCTTGATGAATGCACCAAACTAAACTCTGTCTTGCCGTGGTGTCTCCCGCTTCATATTGTAACGTGCTCTTGTGTTTGAATGTCTCTTATTTTCTGGTTGCTTCATCTTTGCAGTGGCGGCTAGTGATGCAGCTACCACAATTACACAAGAAGGGTGTTACCTGCATAACTGGAATTATGGTTTCACTAACTGACACCATATTTGCTTCTAGTTCCTCTGATGGTGCAGTTCATTTATGGGAGCTCATCCTTCCTTGTTCTCCTGGGGGTAAGTAAGATCTGCTGGTATTACTTTCGACTGGATGTTTTGTTCTGGTGCTTAATGGTTTTGCTTTGTTGCGATTCCACATCTTTAAGAGTTATAGTAATCATTGGGTGAATTAGTTCCAAGTAAAACATTGGAAAGCCTAACTGTCTGAGACGTAATTTGATTTGTCGTGTATTTCAAACATTGATGTCATTCTGCTATTTTGCTGATGTTTATCTTTTCTAAATTGTTAACAGTTTGCTTTTGAATCATCGTAGATCACAGATACCTAATTTCTTGTTATTGTGCTGAGAATATCCTATCTAGAGTTTATTGTTGGCAATAACAATGTAGGAAATTCTGTTTTAAGCATTTGATCTGACGATGGCATATAGTAATTCAGTTGTGATATTGCTTAGTTTGCCATTTACTTTTAGTTCTATGGTATGGTTACTATGACTTGTCAGATTAATTCTTTGCATACATAAATCACTTCAACCCTTGTTGTGCTACTTTTGTTTCTTGAATCTTATATTTAAATCAGACGACAGAAATTGCATGTCTCAAGCATACATGAGCTCTTCAAGTAGTTTATTTAATGTTTGGTGGACTTATCATCAGTATTTAACATGAATTATGTTATTTGAGTTCAGTTATCGCAATATCGTTCCTTATGGTTAATTCTAATGTTGGCATCAGGTGAATGCAAACTATCATGTTTTGAGAGTCTTTCAGTTGGTTCAAAGCCTATGGTTGCTTTGTCACTAGCAGAATTACCTGGAAATTCTGAGCATATCACCCTTGCAATGGGTGGCTTGGACAACAAGATTCACATGTACTGGGGAAAGAGGACAGGAAAGGTAATTTATACGTGCATTCTTTTGTTTTCCCGCATGAAGTTCTTTCTGTACCTCTAAAATAGATGGGTTTTGTTTATGCTTATTCTTTCAGTTTGTTCGTGGTTGTGAATTGAAAGCACATACAGATTGGATCAGGAGTCTAGACTTCTCATTACCAATATGCAAGCCGGGTGAAGCAAATAGCATCATGCTTGTCAGTTCTTCTCAAGACAAAGGCATACGCATCTGGAAGATGTCTTTGCTGGGGTTCTCAGGTGGAGAAGGGCAGGAAACATACAGGAAGGAAATTAGCTTAGCATCCTACATTGAGGGTCCTATAATTGTGGCTGGTTCATCTTCTTATCAAATATCTCTTGAGTCTCTTTTAATTGGACACGAGGACTGGGTTTATTCAGTGGAATGGCAACCTCCCTCTACACGTAATGAAGGTAGTAGTTACTGTCAACCCCAAAGCATATTGTCTGCGTCAATGGACAAGGCAATGATGATCTGGCAGCCTGAAAAGAAAACTGGCATTTGGATGAATGTGGTCACAGTTGGAGAGTTGAGCCATTCTGCATTAGGTTTTTATGGAGGCCACTGGAGCCCAGATGGACAGTCAATTTTAGCTCATGGTTATGGTGGAGCGTTTCATATGTGGAGGAATATTGGAATTGATACGGATAACTGGCTGCCGCAGAAGGTTCCGTCTGGGCATTTTGCCCCTGTGACAGATATTTCTTGGGGAAGACATGGTCAATACATTTTGACAGTGAGCCATGACCAGGTGATTTTTATCCAAGGTTGTCAAACCGGTTTATGCCAGTGTGCCGGTTTAGCAAATGAAATGGTTCAACCGGTGGCACATACCGGTTTGTGCCGGTTAATTCCGGTCAATATTACAAGTAAAATTATAAATACTCATATTTAAACATGACATTTAACGTCAATACCTAAACATTTATACTTGAATCCAACAAATAACATCAATATTTAACTTTTATACTCATAAAATAAAAAATAAAATAATTTTTATCAATTAAATTCTCTAAAATAAGGTCATTTTACTTAGAGATTCGTATATCGATCATGCCGGTCATATCGGTGGTGTCACGCCGGTTTTATGGCCGGTACCGGTTGAACCCGGTACAACCGGTGGCACGCCGGCCGGAGTGACAACCATGTTTTTATCATTGTACTCTAAGCATTTTCTGGTCACATGTGTGGGTATAATGTTTTCTTTATTGTCTTGTTAAAGGAGGATGCTTATATTTCAAGTGATCTTAATCTATCACTGACATGGGTTGCTTATATACTTTTCCCTGCCTTTGTGATGGTTCTGTTTCACCAATTCAGAAGACAAAAATTTAAGGCAGAGTTTAAAAGCTGTTATCTTCATCTCAGGTTGAGTAACTCAGATTAGTAATACTTGTCTCTTGTTCCAGACAACTCGTGTTTTTGCTCCATGGAAAACTGAAGCTTCTCACCTAGATGGGCAGTCGTGGCATGAAATTTCTCGCCCTCAAGTTCATGGCCATGATATAAATTGTGTGGCCATCATTGAAGGTAAAGGGAACCAGCGATTTGTGTGTGGGGCTGATGAAAAAGTAGCCAGGGTGTTTGAAGCTCCTTTATCGTTCTTAAAGACATTGAATCGTGCCACGCTACAATCTGATATCCCTGAAGATCTCCAAATGGGCGTCCAGATCTTGGGGGCTAATATGTCTGCACTTGGTCTCTCACAGAAACCAATTTATGTGAATGGTTAGTCCCCCTGATATAGTCCCCAATTTTGTAGTTGATAGGTTTTAATTACTGTTGATTTGACTTTTACCAACTGTGAAACTCAACATATGTTCTCTGTTAAGCCCATGTCATTGTCCTTGGCTGGCTCTCCAGAATCATGGCATGCTCCCTTCCGCCACTTTTCTTTATGAAATGGCCCGAAAAAGCTACTTTTATTATAAAAATAGGTGAATATTCCCATTTCCCCACTGAATATATTAGTAGAGTTCAGTACATCAGTAACCTGCCTGTCACTCCACCCCCACCCTTCCACCCCACCACAAAAGGACAAACAGGTGCAATATGTTTCTGTAATCATGGATTACTTGTAGAATATCGATATATTTTTTTTTTTATTTCTGGTTCCTAATGAATATTTTCTCACCTGTATCATTTCATCCTTCTGCATTCAATTTGGTGAGGTGCCCAATGTACAAAACCTGTGTTATTAATCTCAACACCCATCCCCAAATCTACCTGAACCTGCTATCTATTAGCCATCGACATATATTTTTATACTAGTTGTTCGTTGGATGTTTTTAATACTAGTTATTATAAAAGACAACTGTAGTCCTGATTGCAGATCTTAAACAGGTCTTTTCGACTAGTTTGCATCAAGGAAGGTGAAGTACTAGCCTTTTTGAGATTTAGCTGGTGAATTTCATGTCCATAGTTTCTTTTTCATGCAGCTGTCCATGAGTCTCCAGGTGCAAATGGGAATGACAGCATTGACACCCTTGAAAGTGTTCCGGATGCCATTCCAGTCGTCTTTACTGAACCTCCTATTGAAGATCAGTTGGCATACCATACATTGTGGCCTGAGTCCCACAAGCTTTATGGTCATGGGAATGAGCTCTTCTCTTTATGTTGTGATCATGGAGGGAAGCTTGTAGCTTCGTCGTGTAAGGTAAATGCCTTTCTTGTTGCAACCTCAGAAAGTTTTCAGTAAAACAGTATGAGCATGTCACCACTCACCACTGGGCATGATAATGTATAAACTAAGCTGGCTCTTGATTCTTTGCTTCAGTCTCCACTTAGTTTCTGCAAAGTAAAGACTTTGGCTGTGGCTTATATTTAAACAAGCCATAAGGGAACAGTTAATCATCAGCAATTACTGGATTCTATCATACTCACGTACCTGTGGTTATTAGAGATATGAGACATCGAACATTCAATTTGAATGTTTTCCAACCCTGATCTTTTCTGCGAAACTTGCAAAGCTGATTTGCGAATTTTAAGTTTTTATTTTTATTTTGTAATGTGTTGCAGGCACAGTCACAATCAGTGGCAGAAATATGGCTGTGGGAAGTTGGTTCATGGAAAACAGTTGGTCGGTTGCAGTCTCATACCTTGACAGTCACCCAGATGGAGTTCTCTCGTGATGATACCATGCTTTTGGCAGTCTCAAGAGATCGTCAATTTTCAGTCTTCTCCATCCAAAGAACCGGAGGTGTGTGCAATGTTTATCCACTTGGGGAACTACCAGCTCTGGGTGTGGTGATTCTTCTTCATTTTTTCTTATCCTCACGTTTTTATTTATTGCCTTGGGTTTTTGGAAATTTGTGTTTTATACAGATGAAATCAGTTTCCCAGCTGTAGCAAAGCAGGAGGGCCACAAAAGAATTATCTGGTCATGTTCCTGGAACCCATCTGGTCACGACTTTGCGACCGGTTCAAGGGACAAGACAGTGAAGATCTGGACAGTAGTAGACAGCAAGGATCCTTGGGTCAAGCAGATAGCAACTTTACCGCAATTCAGCAGCAGCGTCACAGCAGTGTCATGGTTTGGCATCGATCGTCAGAGAGACAATGGACTTGTCGCGGTTGGAATGGAAAATGGACTCATCGAACTCTGGAGTATAACAGTGAGGAGAAACATCGACAGTGGTGGTTCTTCAGCCTCTGCTGCCCTTGCAATCAGGCTGGACCCGACAATGTGCCACGTCTCTCCAGTGAATCGACTGTCATGGAGAAGCCGAGAGAAGAGCGAGGACAGTAGGAGTGTGCAGCTGGCCTCTTGTGGGGCTGATCATTGTGTTAGGATTTTTGAAGTGAATCTTAGTTATAATTGATCTGACCTCTGACGGCGGGATGATTAAACGACTGATAACGAACTTCACTTATTATTATCTGCTTGCACAAAGTGTGAAACACACCGTCGAGTGGCATTTTGTGCAAGTTTCAGTGTTCTTCTTTCTTTGTAATTCGGCTAATGATTTTCAAGAACTTAGGCGTGTCGAACTCAGCTCCCAGTTCCGTGGTTAAAAAACACAAAGGTCGACTCTCTTTTCTATCGGACGCTTTTTCAGAAAATTCATGGTCAATATGACCCGATGGATAATCGTCTCTCTGTGATGAACTAGATCGTGAGATATCCAGCGAGAAAGGTAAAGTGTTTGGAAGAATAGAAAGTGCAGAGGAAAGCAGAGGAAAAGTATGATCGTCGATATCTTTTCTAATTCGTTCTCCTCCCCCTTTTATACAGTTGACCGAACGAGTAACAAACTACAACTTTACCCTTATTCTGTTATGCAGGGGAGAAGATAAAGTGTTAACCCTATATAGGGGTTAGCACCATCCTAAGTTCCTAACTATCATTTATACCGCTAATTTGGGTTCAATTGTAAATATTTTATCCCCGTTTTTGTTAGAGTTTTTATGTATTTGTGCTCCTTGAGGTGTGGTTTTATGCTAGGTTGTGACTTGTTATAGTATGTTTCGGATCCTAACAGGTGGAACTGTCCCCGTAATCGAAAGTGAGACGAAAATGAGCGAAAACGAGTCAAAGGGTGGAAGCAGCCAAGGATTATGACCAATGATGATTTTTCACGGTCTTAGGATCTTGAAAAGGACTCCCAGACCGTGAATCGCTTGGGGTCCAGGACCATTTGCACACCTCGCGGGCGCCCTGTCAGTTCACAGTCGTAAGTAGAGCTGGGCATGTGGGTAGGTGGCCCGCGCGTTTGGGCCGATTCGCTCACATTTGACCCGATTTTCGTTATGTAGGTGGGTGACGGGTTGTGATAGAAACATGGTTGTTAGGGTTTTCTATTATTAATTATGGTAGGATAATTATTATTAAGACTAGTAGTATTCGAGTCGTATTAGGTTATTTATCAGGTTTATTCCAGCCTTAGCTATATATATGTACTTTGGGTTAACATCATAATCAGTCACGAAAAAATATTAAGACGAGCCTTCCAAACCCTAATCTCCCTATCCTCTCAATTCTTGTTCTCAAACCCTCTTAGGCCTAGGCCGATTATGTTCTTCTTCTTCCCAAATCCCAATCTCAATCCCTAATTCCGTTCATATAAACCCTAATCACCATATATCAATCCCAATAGGAACTTTGTTTCTATCAATTGGTATCAGAGCCATGGTCGAAAATCCGATTTCATCACAACTCTCAACCGAGGACGAGCGAGTATATGAAGACTTCAAACCTGATAGCGTGAGGGTGGAGCTACAACGTAGCGCTGTCTTGTTCTTCACCTTGCCTGGGTTCGAGAAGGAGCACGTAGACGTGCAGGTGATTGGATCCGATGTGTTAGCAATAACGGGACAACGGTCGTCGGCTTATGGTCACAGATGGATCCGATTCAAATAACAAATCAGATTCAGAGCAATCCACGACATCGCACGGTACCGCACTTAGTTTGGAGAAACCGATTTCATCCTTCAAATTCCCAAAATCATCACACCTCCTGTCCACAATGAGAAGGTAGCCATTGAAGTTCCACCACAGGTCGAAGAAGGTGCGGCGTTGGAAGAAGAGAAGGCAGCGGCAAGCGAGCAGCAGCTGACTACAGCGCCGACGAACGTCGGAGAGACACCGAGCAACTCCAAGGCAGAGGCACGTGAGTTGCCGCAGGTTGAAGCGACGGACGGGAAGGTCGCGCCAGCTCCTCTTCACCAAGTTTCGTCACCATCATCTCAGCCGTCGAAGACAGAGGCCCAGATGTTGAGATCAAGGACGAACAATGACTTTCGACGCCGTTAGCCGCCATCGCTGCGGGTTCACCATCAACGTTGATTGCCGCTGTTGAGAAGCCATCCAAAGCGTTCCAAAATCCCGTACGACATGAGGAAGATGACGATCCGACGAAAGGTAGCAACTTTGTGCCTCCCTGTCGGTCATCCATAAATCTGGTCATTCCGCCATGGGGACGACCACCAGAAGATCGAGTCTCGTCGACCGTGGACTCGAGCCAACAAACGCCGATGACCGCCGACGATGGCAATTTGGGCAGAGCTGTGGCTCTGACCATCAACACCCATTCAACCGTCGTAGAGGAAGAGACGCAGTTGTGTGGACCAAACTATTGGGACAGAGTTGGGAAAGATGGGCCGCAGTTGTGAACTAGCAAGGAAGGAGGTCGCTGGGCTTGCACAGTCAGAGCGGGGATGAAGAAGTTGCATACGTGTCGGCTCATTCGGAGCGAGCCGGGGAAGAAGTAGCATACGGGCCGCAACATATAAGAGATTGGGTCGAGGCAGAATTAGACTCCGGCCTAATAATAGAGCAAATTCGTTTGATCAAAGAATCAATACTAGGCTGAACAGAGCAAGGGCCCGCTAGTTTCAAGAAACAAGTGGGCCAAGTTTTCGAGGAGGATTTGGGCTTCGTATGGGCTGTTTGGTTATTGCTCTTTTGTATGGTGTGAGCTTGAATGAGAAAGAAGATGCGTTTTTGGGCTTAAAAGGTGGATTCTCGAGGAAACATGGACATGGGGCATTATCAAATGAAGAAGCCACTAAGCAATGTGATGGGCTAGCTCCAAGGAAGGTAAATTAGAGTACAGAGTTTCGAACTCATAACAGGCATGGATCGACAAGGGACGCTAGCATGGAGTTCAAGATTCTTGACCGAGTCATACCAATGGGAGATGAGCTATTGAGGTTTGAAGTTGTCAAGGAAGTGAGTAGTGGTCCCATAGAAATGAAATTCGAAAAGTTGGGTACGCACGAGGTGATCGTTACAAGAAGCCCAAGTCGAGTAGTGGAGCACGATTGGAAGAAAAGGAAGCGCACGATTGGCATAAGAGACGTGGAAAAGTGGGTCGAGTCGGTCAACCTTGAGGGCAAGGTTGGTCTCAAGGGGGAGGGAATGATAGAAACATGGTTGTTAGGGTTTTCTATTATTAATTATGGTAGGATAATTATTATTAGGATTAGTAGTATTCGAGTCGTATTAGGTTATTTATCAGGTTTATTCTAGTCTTAGCTATATATATATATATATATGGGCAGTTCTACGGTGCCCAGGGCAAAATCAGGGGTACGGGTAACCGGGGGCAAGGAAAATTACCAAATGCATCACGAAGCGTTTATGGTGACTTCTACGGACTTCAACCTAACTGTACCCGGTTTAATGATAGCGATTAAGAGGTTCAACCCTATGGATACGACCCGCCGCCCTAACCAATTTCCAGTCTCCCTTCTACGATCCCTCATTCGCCTTGGAGGGTCCCCTCTAACTCTAAGTTCGAAGTTCGATCATAAGCTGCCTATCAAATCTGAAATCTCCAACAAATCATCGTTTCGAAACCCAAATCCTTTTATTATTTGATCCACATTCGATTTAGCTCCCTATCCAATCTCAAATCCCCAACATCATCATGTTTCATACGCCAAATCTATGTATCCACATTCGAAGAGAAGATCCCCATCCAATATGAAATCCTCACATAATCATCGTTTTGAACCCCAAATCCTTTTATCCACAAATCGACGTTTTGTTCATCGCCATTTTATTTCCGTGCGGAATTTACTCGTCTTTCTCTTTCTAACACGATTACGGCGACCATGTCTATTATTGTGTTCATCAAACTTTTCGTTTGCAAAAGAACCCTTGAAAGAGATTTGCTAACCCTAGGGTTCATGTCGCTAGTGCTTTGTCATCTTGTCTTAGCGTTATTGTCATTTTCTCGAAACTTCTATCACTCGGTGAAATTAAGGTTTCCTGATATGCAGTGTTCGTCTCGCCCAGAGGATTGAGGAAGGAGATGAAGAAGACCTAATTTGATTCGAATCAGATGGAGAGGTCTCCTTAATTTGTGTTTATGTATTAACGGTGCGTTTAGGAGTAATTCTAGTTGGACTGGGTCTGATCATTGATTTTTGCAGGCTTTTAAATAACATTCAAACGTGGGCTTGTACATGGACCCATGACACCTAGTTTGTTGATAATAGATACTGAGTTCCGGATTGTCATTAGGTTGGGCCTTTGATAATTGTCTATCTCAGACTCTCAGTGGCGATTCTTTGTTTTACTTATTTTCATCTGCTTCTGCTTCTAAAATCCTGATCATTCATTGAGTTCACGCAATTTAAACATAATTCTGTGTTCCGTCTTTTTTGGAATTTGGTAAATGCTAGCGTGTCTCTTTACACATTTAGCGGTACGAGGTAAACTACAATCCGCCCAATTTAACTCTTCATTAATTGAGATCCCATTCCACTCTCTCACCGATTTCCCCTCTTTATGCAATGCACTCGTACATAACAAACCTCTTGTAGACTAATTAGAGGCTTGTGGTTGGATACTGAGTGAGGATATTTTTTGAATTTATGTTTTGAAACGAAAGTTAGAGTTTCACTTTTGAAGTACCTATGTACTTTAGTTGGGCAAGTATTTTCAAAATGTAAAATTTTATCAGCGTATAGGTATACAATTGTTGTATAAGGTGTTGATGTTAAAGGAAATGGGTACTGACTGCTTAGGGTATTAGGTTGTTGATGGTATAGAGTATATGGTATATGGGTAGGTTATAAGGTGTTGATGGTTTAGAGCATATGGGATCGATTGGTTAAAGGGTGAGGGTAGGTGTTGTCTTATTTTATCTCGATTATATATTTTCTTTATATTTGCTTATAAATGCTGATCATGCCTTATTACTAAGACATAATTCGTTATATCTGCTTATAAATGCTTTATATCTGCTTATAAATGCTGATAATTTATTGTTTGATTTGAACCTGCGTGTTTTTGCTCCGAATGATTTTGTATAAGGTGTTGATGGTTTAGAGTACATGGTATTGGGTTAGTGTATTGATCATCTCCATCCCTAAAATAAGATATTGTATAAGGTTTTGATGGTTTAGAGTATATGGTATTGGGTTAGTGTATTGATCATCTTCATCCCTAAAATTGAACAACAATTTCTAAACGAGGTCCCTACCGCCACATCATCAATTTTAGCAATTCATCACTTAACAATTTCTATTCATCTACATCCCTACATTATGCTAGTAATTGCCAAAGTGGGTTCCATTTTATATTTCAAAGGAAACACTTATTATAAAT